GCCATAAGCTGCTATACATGGGCCTCAGTGTTTCAAAAACACATCTTGTTCAGTTTTACTTTTGCCTTGAAATTTCAATCAGTTATTTATAACACTTTTTAAAAAATTGGGCTAAACACAATGATATGATTTGTCTATTACCGACGTCGTTATGACTTTTCGGCAATCATTTTTTTTCATCCGAAAAGTTTTATAACCTTCTAAACGCATCTATTTAATAATCTTAACTGCCATTTTGCTATGAAGCATCTTGTTTTGAGTTGTAACCAACAAGTTATTAAAATTATTTGAAAATTGCCCATATGTTATTTCTATATTTTTATTCCTTTTGCATAGATTTTATATATCGTCAGGTCCAAGAGTAAGTGACGTAAGAGGTTGACTGATTTTCCACTCACTTTCTACTTCCTCAGTTGAAGTGTTGAAAAGGTTGAAAACCTGGCTTATCGCCAGACTTGGCGTCTAAGGAACGGAATAATTAACACCATAAAGATACAAAAGTTGCAAAAAATACCTAGGTAAATGGAAGTCCAAAAGATGGACAGACGCTTGGAAGAAGAATGTGCGTGGATGGTAAGCATTCTACGTTTCTTCTAGCTACTACGCTAGGGGATATGCAAATGCACTTCGGAAAGTCAAAATATATATATTTTTTAATAGACGCTGTAGTTCAGATTGGAAGTGTACATGAAATAAAACACATACATATATATTAGAGATTTAAATATCTATGGATGAACCTGAAAATGAGTGCCGAAAAGTAACTTCATTAGAGTACTAGTACTATCTAACATTTTTGCCGCGCTGCGAAAAACGAAACCTAACCTTGTGTTTATTTTTATTTTAAAAAAGTATTGCATATATCTGAATGAAACTTTAAGACAAAAGTAAAATAAAATAGAAGTATTAGTATATAAGGTTTTGTTGATAATTTTCGATTTTTAACGATCTCATGTCTTTAGAATTGTGACATTACTTTAGGGTCAACCCTCATGTCAGTGAACGTTAGTAAGACATTGTTATTTAGGGTCAACCCTCATATCAGTGAACGTTAGTAAGACATTGTTATTTTGGGTCAACCCTCATATCAGTGAACGTTAGTAAGACATTGTTATTTTGGGTCAACCCTCACATCAGTGAACGTTAGTAAGACATTGTTATTTTGGGTCAACCCTCATATCAGTGAACGTTAGTAAGACATTGTTATTTTGGGTCAACTCTCATATCAGTGAACGTTAGTAAGACATTGTTATTTTGGGTCAACCCTCATATCAGTGAACGTTAGTAAGACATTGTTATTTTGGGTCAACCCTCATATCAGTGAACGTTAGTAAGACATTGTTATTTTGGGTCAACCCTCATATCAGTGAACGTTAGTAAGACATTGTTATTTTGGGTCAACCCTCATATCAGTGAACGTTAGTAAGACATTGTTATTTTGGGTCAACCCTCATATCAGTGAACGTTAGTAAGACATTGTTATTTTTGTCCGCAGGAGTTATCACACATGCATGGCTTGGACTTGAACAATTTTAATGACACTTCAGTGTTAATAATCACTAAGTCTAGATGTGCATGCAACATTCAAAATTTTCAAAATGGGCACCATTGCCATGGAAACAGGGAATTCAAAAGTTTTAAATACTATTTTTTCTTAGTAACTGCCCAGTCAATTCTTTTTAAAGATATTGAAGAAATATTTCTTGCATCAATTCAAACTGATTTCTAAACAGTGCATTAAAATAGAAATTGGTGGGGGCAAACTTTTCACTGTTGCCATGGAGACAGGAAGGAGAATTTTCTTATTAATTTCATTTTTCCATCTAAAGGTATTTCGTACCATAATATATTGATGTGTAACTGTCTTTCCAAGTTTCTTGGGTAAAGATTTTCTAAAATGATTGCGGTTGCTAATATATATTTTGGTTCACAGATTCTCCTCTATATTGCTTCATTTAACTGCTGCTATTGTTTCTGCATGAAATCATTACGGGTTTTAAAGATAATTATTTAAGTACACAGGGAGACTAAGAAGGAAGTTCAACGTTAGAAACATTCTGTTTATCTTGATCAGGAAACTACATTACATAACTATAATTTATTTCAATTTCAATAGACAAGAAAAAAAAAATAAGAAAACCATTGAAACATGCATGAGAAATCAGACATCGATAATTTTCCAGAGCAGATGTCACACAAGTTCATTCTTCATTGTCGCCATAATCAAAACTAAGTTTGAACTTTCACTTAATCTACAAGGTTTGTCTAATAATATAACTTGACAGTTAACTGCAAAATATAAACATACCAATCAATTGTGTTCCTTGTCATGATCGGGTAAACGGGAACATCCATAGAATTTTCAGTGTGTAAATAATGCCCTAACAATTAGTATGAAAAATCAATATGATAGATTGTATTTGCTGATAAGGTCACTGTATCGACCACAGAACTTGCGAAATGCTGACTTCAAACGAGACTGTTGATATCCTTGTTTCATCAACTTGTTGGTTATTAGCTTGCCTCGTTTTAAAAATTGATCGTAGGTAGATCTGCTCTTGCGTATCGAATCAACTGGGAGACATAAACCCCATATACAGGTGATATGTGTATACTGCTACATAAGTAATGGAAGTTGACGATAGAAAAGTTTACGTCATCACGTTTATAATAAAGTTTTGTTGTTAGATAACCATTAACGTCCTTTTCTATTAACATATCCAAATATAAAACAGATGTTTCTTTTATTTCAAGTTCACTGGAATATATCGAATCGACATATGGATGGAAGTAACTATTATTAATTGATAATACGTCTTCGATATATCTAAATGTCGAGCTGAAGGCCACGTGATACATATAACAATTATATAGAGCTTTGGATAAAAAGCACAGCACTTGTTAGATAAAATCACCTCTAATTTATAAACCAGGAGAGCAGATCATGAAATCAGCATTTCAAATGTTGAAAATTCAGAATAATGTACTGTAAATATTCTTTCTTGGACATTCAACTTTAGGTATTTGAAATGCTAAAAATTCACCAGCTTCCAGGTGCAATGGCACACCTGGACCCCATCACTGCAGGCACCACCTAGTGGGGGCCTCAAGGAAACCCACTCTTCTTTGTTCAAACTTGCAATCTTTTGTCATTTATTTACAAATCTTTCAAAATTTATGCACACAGTTTAGGAGGCCCATAAACCCTCGATCTTTTCTTTTCTTACTTTTGTACTACTATTTTAAATAGGTTTCTCGTACTTTTTCCCTACCCTTTTCATCAAGTTAGAAGTAGAAAGACTGATATTGAAATAAAAATTATTTATCCCATGTTTACCCCTTTATCCCGTGGATATGACTCATTGGATAAATTTTTCATATTCCACAGTTAAGTGCAGTCGTGACGTCACAATGGTTTTGCGTTAGAGTGATGAAGTAAAATAAAGTGGTGTCCTATATAAAACAGTGTAAAACATTGGATGTGAAGTATTTAACATGGGATAAAAAGAATCTCCCATGATTTGTAGTTGGATATGACTTTTATCCAACTCGTTGTGTGTTTTTATCCCATTCGCCAAGGCTCGGGGATAAAAAAACACACAACTCGTTGGATAAAAATCATATCCAACTACAAATCATGGGAGATCCTATATATATAATACCTGTAATTCTGTATAATGATAACGTCAAAGAAAAGATACGTAAAACAAAACTCATGGTTTATTTGTCCGACGTCTAACAGTGTGCAAGTTATGATCCAATCAAACTATGACTAAAATTCGATAAGAGGCTATATATTAATACGCAGGTACGTTAAGCTTCTCTGAACTACAAATGTATGACGTCATAATTAAAAATGACGTCAAGTCACTGCAAACTTGAGCTGTTATGATGGGGAGAGTGTCATAAACTTAACACCTTATTTCAATCTGCATATAAAGTGTCCGAAAGTTAGTGTAAATATAAACGTGTTTAATCTTTTTTAAAAATCTTAATATATCCGAATATTTTATATAACATTGCTTTATTACTCTTGTTTAAAAGTCAGCGTGTTCAAAATATATACGGAAATATATGTTTGACATTTACCCTTTTCTATACATTTGGATAGAAGTAGAATTTATAATTAAGGAATGAATTTAATAGCTACCCATTTCATACGGTATAAACTGGGTTGGGGCAATTTACGCTTTATAAACCGCGAAGCGGTTTATAAAAAAGCGTAAACTGTTCCAACCCAGTTTATACCGTATAAATTGGGTAGCTATTAAACTCATTCCTTATAATTTAATTTTCATTAATTTGGTGTAAGAAAAAAAAGATGATTGTCCATAACAATGACTTCAATTTGTACAAAATTTGAATATAACGTCAGGCGGATCGATACGTTTTTGACGCAAGCCATTGTGACGTAGACAACCGATTTTATACGATATAAAGTATTTTTTTAATCCAATCAAATACAGCGCTACAACTAGAATTAAATTATTATGTGTATAAAAGAGCCTGGCGCAGGTGATTAATGTGGATTTATTTGAAATCTTTTTATGAGATCTGTAAGATGAGTTTCCCCTCTGACTGAATCTTGCTTGGGAAAAATGTGTGATGGCTTTGTTTTAATAAAGATGACGATATTGAGTGTAAAATACCCTCAAATTTGTCGGTAAGTTGAATTTATTGTGAAATATTTTGTACCAGGGTAAAAGTATAACTTTTCCCAAGCTCATTTCGGGTTCACAAGGATTCGACGAGTTTAATTATGTGACCAAAAAAAAAAAAAAAAAAAAAAAAATAAAAAAAAATAATTGTGTTAATCAGCTGCGCCGAATCGATTTATGTGAAACACTTCATGAAAGTAGAAATGACCGTCACGTGATCAAGGAGGTCATGTGATATCGTAAAAAATACGTTTAAATATAGCCTAGAGAACCCTCTATGTAAATTGGCCGTACTTAAGTACATAATTTACAAATAAAAATCGACCTTACAGTGCAGTGTTGTGTTTTGAATGCATTTAAAGCTTCGGGAAGCCTTAACATTGCTGCGTATAAGGTACGTAACTTACTCTTAGACTGCAACATACCTAACCCCAAGATGCATCAACTGAATGACAACGTTTGATGTCCTAGGCCTCACAGCTATGTAGAAGATAGGGCCAGGACACGAAAACAACTAACAGACAGACATACGGACGGACGGGAAAGCTTATACCATTATACGTTCTGTCAGAAGAATGAAACAAAAAGAGAGTCTTGTGGATGAAATATCTTTCAGTTTCATATGTAAAAAAGAGTCAAAAGTAACAAAGCTGCAAGAACAGATATCTAAAACTATAAATTTTGCATCGTCGTCAAAAATTAATATCATAGCCTTAAAGGAAGAGTTTCAAGAAATTCATCCTTTTCCAGATCCCATCGATTAAGTAAACCCCTTACCGGACATTCACGTTAACTTTTGCTTTTTCTTTAGATTCCGAGAATTCGTTATAACTTCCTTTATAAAAATAAAATAAATAAAACAGGGAAGCTTGACTTAACTCTCCCTGGCCTTTTTCGAAGCTTAATATAGATAATGCACATGCACTGATTCATTGCAATAGGAACCCACGGGGGTGGAGCGTGACCCCTCCCCCTAATTTTGCCGATATTAAGTATACTCTAAAAAACAAAGCTAACTTTTAACGTTGTGTTCCCTCAAAAATTACGTCTGATGACTTTGCTTGTCAAGGAATTTTTGCTCGGTTAAATACCCAACCAAACCGAACATGTTTGGTTGTGTCCACATTAAACTGAAATTTCTTCATATCTGACTTGATTCCAGACCTAGAATTCTATAGCTAAAAATAACCCAGATTACTATAGAATTACAATGTTAAAGAATTGTTTACAAGATATTGGTAGCATGTGCATCTCTGAAATAACTGTTAGTTGCAATTACCAAAGATATCAGAAACTAGACTACCGCCTAAAGGTTCAAGATTGTAGTACATGTGCCAATATAAATTTCAGGGACAGGGAAAAGATTTTGAGTCAATTTCTTTCCACTCTCCTTTCAGACATTTTAGAAAATATAAAGATTAATCCTGATATATTTTGTTTTCTGTAATTAGTTAGGATTCAGAGTGGTGAAATCAAAACCGAATTCTGTAAGTTATTGATTTTAATAGAGATAAATACCATTCATTTTTTTTCCTCTATAGACTTTCTTAACATTATAGAGACATTTAAAATTTTCTTTTCTAGCCTGTTTTCAAATTAAATGGGGAAAAATTCCGAGTGGTTTGTGTTGATCTGTGGTTTGACAATTGCCATTTTGGCAATTTTCCAATACATTGTCTGAAACTATTGCTGTCTCTATATATAGTCCTTTATACAATATTTTGCAGTTAAAGTACATGTTTCTTGTACACTGGGACATGTGTCATCTCTCATGCTTATATATATATATTTAAATTTATCTATGTTTTGCATATAATAAGTAAGGTTTTAAACTAGTGTTTGTGTCGAGATCTTGCAGTGATCTTTTATTGGTATACGGAGTATGGGTCGTTATATTATTGAAACCACTTAACTTAAAAAGTGGTTTGTTTATTGACTTGTGAATCAGTTACCCAAATGCAATAAATTGAATTCTATGTCAAGAGATTGTATTTACCTTACAATATATGAAGTCACGCGCAACTTTCTCTTTTCCTTTTAATCCCAAGAACCAATACCGCCATGCTTTTAGTTAAAAGAGACAATATGTAAGTGCAATAAACCATTACAAGATTCTGCCTCTCCCCCCCCCCCTCTCTCCCTTTCACACACACACACACGTTTACTTCTTTATACAACGGTCAGTGGATATAGCTCATAGGATATCGTTTTCATATCCACAGTTGTTACGCCGCAATGGTTTTTGCGTGAATTTTATCAAGTCAAATATTGTGGATTTACATAACTATATAAAACTGTAAAACATGATATAGCTATGTATTACCTTATGACAAAAGTGATGATGACTTCAACTTTTCTATCATCAGCTTATTTATGTAGTAATATACCATTTTCACCTGCACATGGAGTTTTTGTCTCCCAGTTGATTCGATACGCAAGAGCAAGCTCTGCATACAAACAATTTCTAAAACGAGGCAAGCTAGTGACAAAAAGGTTAACGATACAGGGATGTCAACGGTCTCGTCTCAAGTCAACATTTCGAAAACCTATGGTCGATACAATGGCATTGTTTGCAAATCTCTCACTCAGTTTGTTCATCTGCAAAAACGACATCTGTATCATTGACGTGAGTTAATCTAAATTGCGTTTTGCCTATTTTAGTCGAATTTGCAAATGTCTTTATTTCAACAAAGCACCCTCAAATGACCCTTTTGCACGAAAACTAATTTCCAGAAGCTGATTGCGCAACTTCTGAGCGCTGATGAAAGTTTGACGTTTAACGATGGTGGTCAGAGAGGATGCAACAGTTATAGTGACCCTGTCTCTCAAATGATATCAAGTAAAATGTGCAACACGTTGCCTAATAGTCACTTAGTGCTTTTCATCCCTATCCCGTCCATCACACTTCTGATAGCCACAGTTTTATGGTACAGTTTTGCAATAGTCGTATAGTGTCTATTAAATGTCATGTGTATCTGCAAAAGATATTTTTACTTTTCTTTTATCTAGCCAAAGTAATTTCAACCAATGAAATAACAATTTTTGAAGTCAATTTGGGTTATTTTTTTTAAACAAACATTTACAAAGGAACACCTTGCAAACACCATAGCATCTACCCTTCCACTCTCATCTTTTTCCGAACGCTGCAAAACGCAGCTATATGTTAAGGAAGGCTTCAATCCACATTTGTGAGGCACCATGTAGCAAGTATCATTGTAACGTCGTTTAACATTTAAATATCAAAAATAAATAACACTGCATGATGATGAATAAAATAAAAGGTTGCATGCATTTGTTTTATCCATTATATATTGGTAACTTTGTGTCTTCTTAACTTGTTAAAATAGATAATTAATAAAATGACTATTAAAGTTTATAAAAAGGACCTGAGGTATTTCTCAACATTTTCAGAAAACAGGTATTTAAATCAACTTGCACAAAGCAATGCAGCGTTGCATTGCTGCACATTTATCGGTCAAGGCTGTTAAGCGTTTGTTGGGTGCTTCCCTAATTGCTATCTTTGTCTTTATCACAGTTTGAGATTCTAAATAATCGTTTAAGGTAAGATTATAAGGTCAACATTGTAACCTTTATGAAGATATATTACGCTTATTTCAAACTGACATATTTCTTTACAACTTTAAAATGCACCAAATCTACTGAATGGTGCAGAAGAAATTATTAAAAAAAATACATCTTGTTTTCGAAAAGCCTCTTCTTGTGTTTCAATGCACTTGAAAGAAGGAATAGTCATGTATATACAAAAAAATTGCTTGTATGTGCTTTAAATGTTATCGTACATTTGTAGTTTATCAAATGCATATTTTTTCAGGAGTACATGAAAGTAGGAATCAAAGATTAAAACTTCTTTTTTTACTTTTGATAAAAAATGTTGGCCGGATTTAATGATGTCATAGCTCATCTTCATAGAAGTAAAACGGAGAATAATGCAAAATATAAATTGAAACTGAAATGCATTTACTAGAAACGATCATTACAATCTTCTTAAAGACTAATTTTTAAGCACAACACAATATACTGTAGATTCCTAAATATACGCGAGGAATTAATTATCGCGTAATTACGCGAGAAGCACCACTCGCGAAATAAAATTACTCGCTTTTATTTTTATGGTCATGAAATTAATGTAAAATCTCTTGATCAACCGTCCACTCGCGAATTATTGTTCTCGCGATTTGACGTCAAAGAGTCATTTCGCGAAAATAAGTACTCGCGAAAAATAAGGAATCTACAGTATTTGCAGTATGTTCGACAGTTGTAAAGATTTTATGTATTTCTATGCCCCCGTAAAAAAAGACTCTGAAGCATATAGTTTTTGGTCTCTCTGCCCGTCTGTCCATCTGTCTAGCTTTCTGTTTGTCTGTTAATCTGTTCGTCTGTTTGCCCGCAAAACTTTACCCTTGCCCATAGCTTTTGAATGGTTGTTGCTAGGGCTTTCACATGTGTATTTCATTTGACAAGACCTTTCGTTTGGTACCAACAAATTTTATCTCTTGACCTACACCTTGGAGTTTAACCTAGTTTTTTAAAAAAAAAAAATTACTTAACTTTAATCTTTGCTAATAACTTTTGAACGGTTGGGCTTTTATATTTTACATGCGTATTCCATGTGTCCAGACCTTCCCTTGGGTACCAACATTTTATACCTTTCTACCTTGACCTTGGAGTTTTACCTCCTTTTGAAAACCTAATCTCGGCCATAACATTTGAATGGTGGTGCTAAATCTTTCATATATCACGGGTATTTCTTTTGACAAGCCCTTTTCTAGGGTACCAACATTTTTTTGACCTCATGAACTTGACCTTGGAGGTTGCCTACATTTGAAAAAAAGAAACTTTAACCTTTCCTATAACTTTTGAACGGTTGCTGCTGGGCTTTCCTATTTCATTTATGCATTCTGTGCGACAAGACTTTTCCTTTGGTATCCTTATTTTTTCGTCCTCATGACATTGAACTTGAAGTATGACATTCTTTTTGAAAATCTTAATTCTTAGCAATATTTACTGAATGGTTAGTATTAGGGCAATCATATTTCACATGTTTATTCCTTGTGACAAGACCTTTCTTTGTGTATCAACATTTTTTGAACTGTTGACTTTGACCTGAATTTGAACAAATTAACCTTCGCCTTGAGCTGCCACACGGGGGCATCCTTGTTTCATAAACACACCTTTTTCATTGATGAAAATGCTTTTAACATAATATCGAGAACTACAAATAAAAATCATTTATATGCTAAATAATTTTAATCAGAAAACATTAATTATTCTATTATTGTTGCAATAATGCACATAATACTCTTTCGAACTGTTCACTATAGACGTATTTGTGGATGTTGATCCATACCAAGTTTTCACATCTATTTCATTATTAGTGACTGGAAAACTATTTACGTACAATGGATTTCCGGACACTACCTATCCAAGTCTTACTTCTATCCGTAGCATTATTCTGTACAGGAAACCTAATAACACAAGGTACGTTAAACAATTTTAAATACCAAAGGAAAGACGAAAAAAAAAGAAAGAAGTCCTACTTAGCTATGATATAAATGTATTCTTATTTATCTCGTATCAGAGTGTCCCCCAGGAAAACACGTATTCACCAACTGCACAAACCCTTGCATTTACAATGGATCCATCACAGTTTGTCAGTCAAAGCCGAACAGTCAATGTGTTCCAGACTACTGTGGAGCATGCGTCACTCGTTTCTACGACGACAACAAAACTGAAGTACACTGTGAGATTGGTGAGTATAACATTTTAAACCAATTACTATTTCTTTAAACATTTATAACCAGCGTTAAACCATGCAAAACAGTTCTAACTTTAGACATGAAGAAATACTTACATAATTAAGCTAAATGGGTCTAGTAAAATGCTATTGCTTGAACATTACATATAGTTACATGTATGTGTTATGCTTCTCATGATATGAATGTTAAAGAAAAATTGAAAATATCTGTGGTTTGAAAAAGTATATGATATTAATAATGAATGTTCCATTTAAAAGGCCTTCTCAAGTAACCATTGAAAAAATGACGTAAATAGTGCGTGCTTTATACAAGTGACTTTTTTGTTGATTCATTCCTTAACATAACCCGGCCCGAAATTCAGTATAGAGTTTCAAGAAAAATACAGTAGAACTTTAAAGGAAGTTGGGACGAAAGGTTTTTGTTGTATGAAGATATTATTACAATTGTATGAGAAGTACTGCAATACATTTTAAAGAATCTAATACTTGTTTGTATTTCTTTTCAAATACTGCCGGTTTCCATTTATTACTGACTACATTTAAGTTATTTCAAAAACTAAACCACGCTTGTTTTTGTATTAGAATCTGGTATCATATGTGAGCAGAAGACACATACAATAAGTTGCCGTAATGGCCTCCTGATTTACATGACGGAGGCTAATTTTGGAAGAACATCTAAAGAGAGTTGTCGTCATCCTTACGACATTGAGCGCCTACACAACAACACAAACTGCAAAGCTCCAACATCGCTCCAGGTCATGCAGAAGCTTTGTAATGGCCGCCAGAGCTGCACTATTACAGTAGAGAATGAGATGTTTGGAGCAGACCCATGTTATGGCATCTACAAATACCTAGAGTTCGATTTCAAGTGTGTCTCTCGAGGTAGGTTTGACATTTCTATTAGGAAATACTGTCAGTTTTTCCCACACAATCCTTTAAATGTGTATATAATGAAAACAAGTTTGAAAACAAACACGTAAAAATTATTCAAAGTGTATCACTGACAAATATTCTGAATGCTGTTAAGTCTTTCGAGATTTTAGAGGTTTGAATTTGCTTTTTTATCTACAGTGTATGATACCCATTTGTATATGTTTTTGTCGTGTAAACACATCGACAAATGCAGCATATACTGTCGATCACCAAAGCTTCGCTGCACTTTATTTTCGTGAGATAGTTATTTGGTATTTATAAGTGAGTCAAATTTTTCACGAATGCTGGTTATTGCTGTATATATCTTATGCTAATAAATATATGCCTTCTCGCGTATATACGCGAATACAAAGTTCTGGCGAAAAAAGGGATGTACAGTGACTTAATTGTCTCTTAATTGACGACTTTATGAAACACGCAATGGAATCAATTTCACCAGACATCTTCCTTTATGTTGTGATGTGATCTATATTATCGTGATATTTTCTTTCAGATGAACTCAGTCACAGCAACAGGAATGCACCTGATATCAGTATCATGGGCGGTCTACTGCTGTTGTACATTTTATCGAAGAAACCTTAAACAGAGAGAGAGAGAGAGAGAGAGAGAGAGAGAGAGAGAGAGAGAGAGATCAAACAAAAATATATGGTTAACCAGTCGGATGGAAATATATGATTATGACTACATGACTAAAACAAAATAAAAACATACTAAATTTATTTTAATTCTAAATGCATGTTTAAGACTTAATTCCAATGTACAAATCTGTTATATTTGTTTAATTGTTGTTTTTAGATGCATACATACTCTGTACATAAATATGCTATCGCTGTGTATTATTGAAAAATACATATATAAATAACTAGGAGTTTCTTTTCATTAACTCTTATTAAATTATAATTGCATTATTGATCTGCAACTTCTATGCTTTGACAATCTATTGATATCTCAAAGCTTAAATAAAGAAGTATTATGAATGTTTGCTTAAGATTGAAAGATATTTTTTTTTTTTGCAAAGAAAAGTTAAAGTAGGATAATCCTACGAGGTTTGCATTTTATTTATTAAGATCAAATGTATGGATTTAAATAACATTTCATTCTAAAACAAATACTAGTACCATTTCTAATTAAAAAAAATAATGAACAAAACAAAAAGAACAAAATACTTTTGGTTTTTTAATTGACTTGTGAATACAGTTTAGTAACCAAAATGAAATGTTTTATCTTAAAAGCTTTTAACTCCAAATAAATGTGAATCTACGAGGGTCCTTCAATAAATATGCAACATACAGTTTATCATAATGAATGTAGAAGCATTTAATTTCACTTTTTCACAATTGAAAAGTTCTATTAAAGAACAAAGAACTCTTTATCTTAGAAAACCCCATGATTTTTCTTATTGTCCTCGCAAAGAACCTTACTTGTAAAGTAAGCTTGGTCACTACACTGAGATGAAAAATGCTAATTATCTCTGTCAAGAAGATGATAATGAGAGCGTATATGCAAAAACTGTGCTTCATTACAAAAATCGCCGAAGAACTCATATTAAAGATATGATTTTTATATTTGGAAAGACTAGTCCTTGACGCTGTATAGTTTTCAGATGGATTGAGAAATTCAAAAGTAAGAAAGGAGAGTATAAACATAGCAGTCAAACTAGTCGATCGAAATCTGTAGGGACACCAAAAAATATCAATGCTGTGAGCAACGTGATATCTGAAAATGCCAGATTTACATTGATAGACATTGCTAAGACACTAAACATTTCATCATTACAACAATTTATAGAGTTCTGACGAAGGAAATTAATGTAATAAAATTTTTATCAGATAGTTGCCTTATTTCCTTACAAATGCCTAAAAGAAAACAAGTGTTAAATGTGTCAATGGTCTATTTAAAAACAAATATTTTCTACAAAAAGAAGATAAAATGTGGAATCGGAGAGAGAGATGTCGTCCTATTGTTGTAAAGCAAGGGCTCCAAACATGTTTTATTAGTTTTCTTCTCCAAGAGTTCATGTAAAACATGTACATAATCCCAAAAGGAAGGACCATCAATGGTAAATTTTATGATAAAATTACACTAAGGAGAGTTATGCAGATTCTCTGCAAAGGAAGTCCAAATACCGGCCCCAGGGTAATTTTCCTGTACCTGACAACGCTGCTGTAAATGATTATAGAGAAATAAATAAAATTTTGAAGAAAGGAAAGTTTACAGAGCTTTGCCATCACCCATATTCGTTAGTTTCAGCCACTGTGAGATCTTTTTATTCCAAAAATGCATGAAAACAATCAACGGAAGACTGTACATTTTCAGATTTGTCATAGGAAGTGCTATTCATCAGTGTCTTTGGGACATACCTAAAGATGAGTATGCTGAGGTTTTCTGGTCATAGGTACAAAGACTTAAGATATGTGTAAAGGGTAACAGGGAATACTTGAAAATATTTAAAATCTGTTTTACGTCCTTTGCTGAGTTTTAGATGACGTTTTGCATAATTTATTGAACGATCCTCGTATAAATGGTTCGACTTTTTCTTTAACTTTTATCCAAAGAAACTGTGTAAAATGGTATTACAAAAGACTATTAGAAGATTGCAAGAAATCATTGTCTCTCTTTGCACATTGAATTGCAAATGCCCTCTCTCTCTCTGTCGGTCTGTCTCTCTGTATATCTCTCTCTCTCTCCACATATAACTAAGTACTGCAATTGACATAAAGAAAAAATAATGACTGTTATCAAGCTGTTTCATTGATGTCTAATTCAGATTCAGATTTCTGTTGAAGCAAGAGACTTACCTCTTACAGGTAAATACAATCCATACATATATAGAATTTATATATCACAGTGGAAGAACATCAGTTACATCAATTATGTACAAGTAAGAGTAATCATGACATATGTTAATCCGACAATACATTTCTAAATTTGTTTGGAAAATATACATTTTCAAAGGTTACGTTATTCGTTCGTATTTAGGCTGGTCAAAATTTTATACACTTGGGCGGCATGAAATTTATTTTCTCAATCACCGATAGTATAAAAATAATATAATAATATAATTGATATTTATGGTATCTTGTAGCCTTGGATCTACTTACACTCTTTAAATAATTCAGACAAAAATACCAGTAAAGTATCTAGAACAGTTGGTGAGGTCTTTCCAAACATTTTCAGAAAACGAGTATTTAAATCAACCTGCAGAAAGCAATGCAACGCATTGCAACACGTTTATCGATCCAGATTGTTTGCCGTTAGTCGGGTGTTTCCTCAATTGTTATCTTTTTTATACCACAGTTTGGTATTGTGAATGACTGAATAAGGTAAGATTGTAAGATCAACTCGTAAAGCTTTATGAAATGACATCAACACATTTCTTCAACGAGCAATTTTCTGTGTAAGTAAAAATGTATCAATATTTAATACTGCTTGATCCCTAAGATATCTTCCTTCTTCGTGTTCATTTGCAGCAAATCGCCAAACTCTGCAACTGTTATGAGCATGTTCAGAACAGTTATGTCCACACTACGATTCTTAAATATTCTTAAATATTCAAGACTATCGCACAGCACTCGCACTGCCACTGGTACCCATTTTCTTAGTAAATCTTCGAAATGTTGTGAGTCTCGCAGAACTTTCTAGTACTTGCGACACTGCGAGTGTACTACGAGTTCCTACAGGTGTCCTAAGAACTACTGCGAGAGTCCTTAGAATCAATACGAATGTACCAGGGTTTTCCTGCAAATATGACATAAAATTGGGCGATTGATGGCAAATTCAATATGAGAACCGTGCGATTGAACTACGAGTTGGAATTCTTGGGTAAAATGTAGCATGAAATGAGAGAGTGTGATAGGATCCTAAGCAATTCTGAGCTTGAAAATTGTAAGCATGGATCTAAATAATATTTGAAAAAAATATAAACTGTTTTAGAGTACTGTGAGGATGCATATTTTTTTTTTTTACCTTAGCTGTTTATAGGGAGTATTTTTCTTATCATTTTTCATGAAAAGAAGGCAACTTGGGAGTGCTGCAGCAAATTGTCATTTTCACAGTCATTGCGAAAATAAAACTTTTTGTTATTTTCACTGATATATAACACCTGTGAAAATATCGTTTTTATTCAACGGATAAATTACAGTATTTTACTGTTCAAAATGTAAAAAAAGTTTCTGCAATGATTACAACTGTTCATCCCCATCTAAAAAAGAAATACATTTTGTTTATCAATAGTTCTTAATTACAAGTGCGTGTAAGAATGTAAATTATTGCCTTATCGATCCGTATGTTATATTGATGAAAGAGCCAATTACTTGAGTGATTGATCGTTTAATGTTTCACATCCCTTCCTATAATTTTACATTCATATGAGACGTCAAAAATACCAATGAAAGGTTCGGCTACCATGACGGATTCAGGAAGAACCAATTAACCTTTATACTTCTTTAAAAAAAATCTTTCAAACAGATGACTTATAAAAAATGGGTCCAGGCTTTTTGATATTATTGACAGCTGCTTTTTCAATAAAAATGGAACTCGTAAATTTACTTACCTTGTCATAGATCATTTGCAAAATTATTCTGTTAAAAAACATTCTGATTGTACACACAAGTACTTTGAAGTTGACATTAAAAAGATGCTTGAGTTTCTGATTGACAACATCTATGTGGTTTTTTGAGACCAGGTCTTCCAACAATCTATTGGAATTCCCATAGGTACCAATTGCGCCCCGTTATTAGCAGACCTTTTTTTGTGTTCATATGAAGCAGAATTTGTCCAAAATCTTATACGTGAAAAGAAAACACTTGCTGTGGCCTTCAACTCGACATTTTGATATATCGACGACGTATTGTCAATTAACAATGGTTATTTCCATTCTTATGTCGATACGATATATCCCGGTGAGCTTGAGATAAAAGATACCACAGAGTCTGACACATCTGTTTCATATTTGGATATTTTACTTGAAAAAGACGTTAATGGTAATCTAAAAACCAAGCTTTATGATAAACGTGATGACTTTAACTTTTCAATCGTCAACTTCTCTCATTTATGCAGCAATATACCTTCATCACCTGCGTACGGGGTTTATATCTCTCAGTTAATTCGATACGCAAGAGCATGCTCTAGTATGTACAATTTCTAAAACGAGGTAAATTAAGGACAAACAAGTTAATGAAACAAGAATATCAGCAGTCTCGTTCAAAGTCATAATTTTGTAAGTTCTATGGTCGATACAATGACCTTGTCAGCAAGTACAATTTATCATTAAGTCAAATGCTGACTGACGTTTTTCAAACTAATTGTTAGGCCATTAATTACACACTTAATTGTCGACGGATTTTCCCGTTATTTCCCGATCATGACAAGGAGCACACGGCGGGTGTGACTGCTCGGCAGGGGATGCTCACTCCTCCATGGCACCTGACCCCACCTCTGATGTTTTGGAGGTCCGTGTTTGCTCTGGTCCTATTTTGTATTGTTTAATGGACTTTTGAGCTTGAATACTGTTCGTTTTCTCCATATATTTCATACAACTACATTTAAGTTAGAAGTAAATCGATTTCTTATCGCCTTTGTTAATCAGAAAACGGTTACCCTCTCCCCCCCTCTCTCTCTCACACACACACATACACACAGATATATATATATATATATATATATATATATATATATATATATATATATATATATATATATATATATATATATATATATATATATATATATATATATATATATATATATATATATATATATTCTATCTTACTTTCTTTACTGAAAATTTCTCGCCAGGTGTGGGTCCATACCAAATATCCCATTCTGCTTCACCTGTGACTGAATTACTTAATTTTACATATGGATATCCGAGCACTACCTATGCAAGGTTTTCTTCTATCCATGGCGGTATTCTGTGCGGGATACCTCATAGCACAACGTAAGTTAAGCAAATTTAAAAGAAAACAGAAAAATTGTAATACATGTATAATAAAATTGTTTGCTCAATCATAATGTCAATGTATTCTTTTTTTTTCAAAGCAAAGTGTCCGCCAGGAAAACACGTATACACTAACTGCACTGATCCTTGCATTTACAATGGATCCATCACTCTTTGTGAATCGAAGCCAAACAGCCAATGTGTTCCGGATTATTGTGGCGCATGCGTAACTCGTTTCTACGATGACATCGGAAAAGAAGTTCACTGTGAATTTGGTGAATATTTAAAAAAGAAACCTGCACCATTTATATTTGTGTAAACATCTATAACAATTGTATTTAAAAAAAAAATGAAAGACATTTTAAACGTTAGATAAGAAGAAATGATAACAAAGCCATTTGTATATTCGTAAGCCATATGAAATGGGTACCGTGTGATAACGCTTAATTAAATTGTAAATAATTGTATTTTACGTGTATGCTATTCAAGTAACACGTTGTATGCTGTTTGAAACTGTATAAAGTCAAAAAATTATAAAGAATGCTTTCTGTCATGAACATTCAAAACGTTTTTTATATAATATGTTTAATATTGAATACGTGTGCATCTTGCAGTAGCATCTGTTGTTGATGCAATTTGTTTTCTGAACATTACCTCAAAATTCAGTAGGTTTGATAATTAATTCAGTATATACTAGTCTAGTAACATCATTTTTGAAATACTGTTTCCATTTATTACTAATTATATTCAGATCATTAAAAAATGTAAATCACGTTATATTTTTTTAGAATCTGGTATCATATGTGAGCAGAAGACACACATAATAAATTGCCGTAATGGCTTTCTGATTTACATGACGGAGGCTAATTTTGGAAGAACATCGAGAGAAAAATGTCGCCATCCTTACAGCATTGAGCGCCTACACAACAACACAAACTGCAGAGCTCCAACATCGCTCCAAGTCATGCAGAAGCTTTGTAATGGCCGTCAGAGCTGCACTATTACAGTAGAGAATGAGATGTTTGGAGCAGACCCATGTTATGGTATCTACAAATACCTAGAGTTCGATTTCAAATGTGTCTCTCGAGGTAGGTTTAACACTTCTAATGATATCAGTGATTTGCACTTCTTCGATAAAAACAAGTTTGAAACCAAACACATGAAGATCGTTGTATTTCTGATTTTAGGGCAACTGTTATTTAATTAAAATATTATTGTTTATAATTAAGCTTTCACTTTTCAGATGTTTGAATTTCCGTTTAAAAAACGTCCATGATACTCAATCACGATACATATATTTGACTTGCAAAATTGTTGATATCTGTAGCTTGTAATCTAGTTCGCTTTGTCTCTGTATTCGCGACTTTATCAAATACACAATAGAATCGATAATTACTCCACTTGACATTTTCCCTGAAGTTGTCTGGAAGAACTGAGTGATTTGCATCTTATCATACTTTTTTCAGATGAAATCAATCTCAACAACAGGAACACACCTGATATCCGAACCATCGGCTGTCTGCTGCTGCTGTGCATTTTGTCGAGGAAACCGTAGAGAGAGAGAGAGAGAGAGAGAGAGAGAGAGAGAGAGAGAGAGAAGTCAGACAATCCTAATCAAGACATGGAAAAATGTTTGACAAACCATTCTGATGGAAGATTTATGACTTAAATAATTCAAAAGCATAATAAATGTTTTATTTACTCTTGTAACTAAAAAGTTAAGTAGAACTATATATTGGAGTATGTTTATAGAGCAATTTGCCAACCTGCCTTTGTTTTGTTTTCTATTTTTATATGTGTATATCTTTTGTAAATAAATATCACTGTATATCAATTTGAAATAAACACTGTGATTGGAATATTCATAATTTAATTCAGACTTGTCGAAATTTTAAAATCATTGTCAGACATTTGGTCTGACAAAGTCAAATGTTCTGTCGGACCAGTCAACGTTTTGTCAGACCAGATACATGTACCTTATTTTGACGCTGTGAAAGTCATATGAATAACAGCACCAAAATGCCCTGGATTATTTTCAGCAGCCTTTAATCTTACAAGTTTCCTTCCTTGGGATAGAAAGTCTTTAATAAAAGACACAAATGACATGTTTTATGACTTTGCTATAACAAATTTAATTGGCTATCGTCAACACGCCGCGTACGCGGCCATTTTTTCTGTGTTTGTGACCTTCAGCTGCGCATCCCGATCCCGACCTTTATTAAATTTGCATCACGCTCGATTTTTTTCAAACGGTCATCTGGACCGACGTTTTCTTAAAAGTTGTCGGTCCAGACAAATTTTTATCGGCCTTGCCGACAGGACCGACGGATTTCGACAAGTCTGTTAATTAATAGCAAATGAATCCTTCTGTGTGAATCAATTTTCATTGATCTGGAGTTATTGTAATATTGACCTGGAACTTATGTAGTGTGAAAACCTTAAAATTTTTAACACTTTAGTATAAAAACGTATTGTGAATACTTGTTAAACTTCAAAAGATTTGCTTTTTTCTGCAAAGAAAAATGCGATTAGGAAAAAAAAATCATTTGCATTTGTAATGGCAAAACAAATAAAGTTATGCATGTATGTGTATTTCTCTCAGTGTAAATATTTATTTTAATGCATCTTTGTGAGCCTCTTAGAAAGCAGATAATTGATTTACATTTCAAAAAGATTAACGATTAAATTTGTTTACTCTTAAATGCAAGAGGCTTTGTAGTTAGCGTTCTTCAAACACGAATAAAGTGTTTATATAGATATCCTCTGATGAGTATGATGAATACAAAGGTTAATTCCTCTTCAAGTATATACTTGAGTTTATAACTGTACAAATGCATCAAATAAATACTTTGAGTTGAAGTTGCCTGAATCTGTGAGTTTTATATAGTTATTGTACATGTACGATCCAGATACCAAATGCTTTTGAAAAAAAATATCTTGTAGAAATGCAGAAAAGCCATTAAGTTTTTAACGACTCTCATATCATATGTGATCAAATTAAACCCTTTTAAGTCCTCTATCAAAGTTATAAGCGACTCCTCATTATGCACAGTTTGTATGACTTTAGGTGTGTTAAAAAATCTCAGTTGTAATACATGTATGTATCCAGAGTGTATAAGATTTCAAAACTTGAGTCAACATTTGATAAAAATTGCATATAGTTGAACCGGGGTTGACAATCGTTTTGCTTGGGGATTAGAATTTTCAGTGTTACAATCAACAACATGCAATATTTTTACATAATATTGAATGTTTTATACAAAAACATTTAACATTGAACCTTGCACGCATAAAGTCTGCACAGTCAATATTCTTTTGAAATATCACTCGTGGTTAACCAATGTTGACTGAAGCTATGGTCTATCACGCTGATGGGCTTAGTTTTATCATTCAGAGGGCAATGATGTTACGTGACGAATCGGATTCAACTAATTAACATGAAAGTATTATATTTAGAAATATAATGTACATTGTAATATGTTCATATCCAAACCATCAAAGTGTGGCTCTAAAACACGCACCTGATGAACAATTATGACGCGTCCCTTAATAAGATAATTAAACAAGAACTTCTCTTATGTTGAAAATGAAATCAAATATTTTAAATATTGAAAAAAAAAAAAAAAAAAAAAAAACTAAAGAAAATATATTTCAAAAATGATATTTTATTTCAAATAGCTCAAGACAAAGCATATTCCCCTGTTTGTGTCATATCTTAGCTTAGACATAAAATTGAACTCAATAAATATGAACTGTTATTTCTTGATTAAAGAATGTATAATGAACTCAGATTACCGATTCAGATTTCCAGGTACGTCTATACCAAAAGAAAGCGAATCCTGTCACAGAAACAAGAGTAATAGGGGCAAAAATGGCATAGAAGGATTTAGATGCCCAAATAATGCCATATGCGAAAAGACAAAGAAAACTTGTAAACATCGCAATCAAGAAGTATCGAACTGTTCTTCTAGATCTGTATGTAAGATTTGGTTGAATATATTTAGCTGAACATAGAGCGTCCCCCTCTGTGCTTGGGTCTTGCTCATTGTTGACTGTGAACTCTTTGTACCGGATGTTGCCAGCCATGTCCTCATTTTTCTGAATTGGCTTTCTGCCATAGAACCAGATAACTTGAATAGCGTTGACGTAATTTACGCTGCTGGAAAAATACGTCATGACGACATATTGAATTGGTAGAACTAGGCCGTACGTGGACATGAAATCCGTCATTTTGCCGATGGAGGCAATGATTACGGACCTTGTAGATTGTCCAGAGGTTGATCTTAACTTAAAATTGAGAAAAACCTAAAAAAAAGAAAATAAATGCATGATTACAACAGATCTAAGGAGAAAGATTTCACAATGTCAAGCTTCATTAATTAGTATTTACCATACCTGTGGAAAAGTCTCAACACACCATAAACCTATAGCAATCCATTGAATATAAGGAAATAATTTCAGTCCCAGGTTAAGAGATATAAGTGTTGTCCAGACACATAAACAGGCAACAAGGTACGCAATTTTATGTTTCTTATCGTACTGATCCCCATATATCCAAAACTGAACGAGAATACTGAACTCCAAAATAGGCATATAGATAGAATTAATTTTGCCGTATAGGGGAATTTCGGCATATCCGTAGACAAAGCAGAGGTTAATCAGTGATGCCGTAAAATTTGCAGTTCCCCACAGAACACTGAGACCCAGGACCGATTTTTGGCGGAAGTTCTTCCAGACTTGGGGCAGTAGAACAAAGAACCAGAGCGTGGTGCTGCAGAGTCCACATATGTTGGCCCCCATACACGTCCATTCTGGCCAATTTGGTCGGCAGTTACGTAGAAGTGGATCATCTGTTGTCTTGTTGTGCATAGTCACAATTTTCGTTCTCGCAACATTACACTGTGATTTCCAACTAAAGAATCTATTTCTACTTTCGATTTAAGGGCCGAGAGTGACCTAGAAAAATTTACACATAAGCATATAAGGCAAGAGGGGCGGAGCTTACCACTGTTATCAGAGCAGCAGCAGAATTGTTGTCTGTTTTAACACGTGCTCTGTAGCAGACAATATTTGTAGAGCAGAGAGCGGCACATGCATTATCACAACTATTATAGATATGCATGTATAAACTGGAATAAAAACAAAACCAAAATAATGAAGTTAAAAATGAACAATATATTTATATATTAGGTAAATACACAAGTTATAAGATACACACAATTTCATGCTTTCACATTGAATTTCAACTCAGCTTACAAATTTAATCAACTTTCAGTCCAGCTTTCACTGTTTGATGTTTATGCTCAACATTAGTGCTTAGAATAAAAAAAAAATCAATATGTATATATGATGTAAACAAACATTAAAAATTAATTCAAAACAATAGTAAATCATATCAGCATATTTTGTTTAGTGTGTTATTGCCTTGGTTTATTTAATTCCAATGTTTTTAAACCTTTAATATCCTTCACAGTATCTACCAGTTATTATGAATTGGTTTTGAACACTTTGAATCTATTCTATTTTATGCTCGTTAAAACAGAGCAGCTATTTGTCTCTTCCAGATATTATCTCTATATGTATATGTTGGGGCTTTGTACACTTTTTCCCCTAGGAACTTTGGGAGCATCGGGTCTTCTTGGGTTCCATACAGAGGTATACTCTCTGTCTACATTCTCATTCCAGTGACAAACAGCTAAATAGGATCTGGCTCTGTATTTCTGATCTCCAAAAGCTATCCTTTTGTCTTGGAAAATGTTCATGGTGTTATTGAAGCTTTCCACATAGTACGTGTCTTTTGCTAAAACGTAATCTTCAAGATACTTCTACAAATTTGAGCTGACAATAACACTGCGTAATAGTTTTTCAGAAACTTTGTCAACCGAAACAACTCTGGAAGGTTCATAGTTTTTGTCCATTTTACATCTCGAAGAGGAATGAGAATCACAGTGGTTTCCTTTGTAGTGTTCCATTGTGTTCAATAAAAGTTTCTTTAATTTCTCTGGGTCTTGATCACAGTTTCGCAATGCCCAATGACAGTGTGTTGCCACTGGCTCGACTTTGTCTTCAAGATGTTCTGACCAGGTTTTACCTTTTGAATATGCTAGTCCGCTGGACACCTTTTTCATTTTTTCCTTTATTGGTTTAATACCATGTCAGGAATCATTTTGATTGATAATGTTTTCCTTTGTTTTCCACCAATTTATTAATTGACAAGTTTTGATCGTGAATATGTAAATTTACATCTGAAGCTTACTCATCAAGAAATTCTTTCTGTTCCAATCTTTTCATGTCTTTGAGAGACATGGTCCTCTTGTTTGGTGACCTGTTCACATTTTATGACACGATGTGTTTTTCGCCAATGTCAACAATGCTGGAGTCTTGTGCATTTTTTCTCCATCCATGGCGTGTAATAGTGATTCCATCATCTTCTTCACATTCTACTCCCCCCCCCCCCCCCCCAATTGTGCCAACTCAATACTCTCTTTGCATTCTTCTTCAACATGTGGGTAGATTTTTTGTAAGCACTGCTCTCTGTGTTTTTGGTTAATCACTCCAATGTTGACCCCCTTGGAGAGTCTCATGTAGTGCACTGGTAACATACCACTGCATGCAAATCCCTGCATGACTCTTCTGTTGATTAGGTACTCATTGTTGGGTAAATAAGGTGATGATGACCACAACAGGCTGTGAATTTTGTCTTTTTCCTGTACTTGGACATAGATGTTGAAATTCATATTTTCATTGTTTGTCTCACCCTGTTTGTCCCTATGCTTTTCCAAGAATGCAGTAAGTGCATTTTCAATTATATCTCCATTGTTCACTGGATGATTTAACTGCCCCTCTAATATTTCCCTGACACTACTTAGTAATGATAATATTGAAGCCTTTCTTTGCTAATCCCCCGGTATAGATAATTTGAATGATGGTGGGCGTTTTTTCTTTTTGAATCAGAATCCATATTAGATTTTAGAAGGAAGAAAATACAACAAGGTAGTTATGGAGAATCAAATTTAATTTGGAGAATTCTGGGCACTGTCCATTTTTTAAAGGGGCATGAGGGCATTATTTTATGCAATAGAACTGTACTTTTTCAAGTCATTTGTTTAATTCTGAATCCGAATTTTAAAAAAGTTGTTCTATGATTTACTCTTATTTGCAAATAACTAAAAGGATGAATGATTAATGATAAAAATTTCTTTCATAGAGCTCAGTATCCCCCTCCAGATCAAAAGTGATGCAGTCCTGATATTTGAAACTTTGGTGAATATAAGGCTTATCCATCCTATCCCCCATGAAATGGTTTCTGGGGAAAACAGGGGAATTTCAGAAAAAGAAAATCCAAAAAACAATCATCTTTCAAATAATTTTTAAATGACATTTAACATTTAAATTTTTGGTCATGTAATTCCTCCATCTTCCCATCCTGCTGAACAAGAGAAAGTGAAAAATGTATGGCAAAATAAAAATTTCAAAAATTATATTTATTTACTAATTTACTGATTACTGTTAGTATACTTTTCCTCTATGTCCCCCTCCCATATTATGTGGCATCTGCACTGGCTAAAGTTGCTAATGGGCATTAAATTAGAGTAACTTGACATTTACGCGCGAAAACTTTGACAGCAGTATCTGAAATCTAAAAATGGCAAGCAAGCGGCGGGTTTTAATGCAATTGAGTGATTATCAGAAAATATAAGAGGTGTTTTCAATCACTTTGATTGGGATTTTGATTCTGCAGTAATTTCTGATAGTAACTCTTTAGTGAATGTTGAGAAGCAGACTGATTCACCAGAACATGAAGAAGAAATAAATGACAACGATGATTTCGTAAATGAACCTTTCAGAATTCAACAGGAACCTAATAGTTCAGAGTGTATATATTGTTACTGTAGACCATGTATCACTGATGAAGTAAATAGGCAGATGTGGTGGGAAACTGACCCTCACCTAAAACATAGGAGAAACAGAAATTTACGTAAAGAAAAGTACGAAACAGGCGCGGATCAAGGAATTGAAGTTAGGGGGCGCAGAAAGTAGGCAGGGGGTCCGGGGACCGCCTTGAGTGCGTCCAGGGCGAAGCCCTGGTGGGGGCCCAGGGGGCGAAGCCCCCGGAAGCTCCTGGATTCTAGAGATTTTGTAAGGTAAAAATGAGGTCTACCAAGTAGACATTTTTTCATTTTCTTGACGAAACTATGATTTACGCGAACTTTGACAGTTTTAGGGGTGGGTGGGCAGGTGCGCCCCCCCCCACCTTTAAATCCTCCACTGCAAAAGATTTTGGACTATGATGTATCATAGAGATATCTGGAACCACCCTAGATATGTTCAGAAAAAAAGAAGGGCATCAGAACAAGACCCAAGGTTCAGGAATTTAGTGTGGCATCGCAGAGACATAATGTCAGATTGTGTAATAAAATGTGTAAGAGGCTGGTTTCCCAATCCCGACAACATTCAATACATGGGCCACCTGTGGGAGTAATATAACTGAAGTTCAAGGTGATGATTCGGGAATGCTTTCCCGCATTTTTCTACCAATGTGCTCTGCCTGCGAGGCACAGAAAGGGTCTTTATAATAACGTTAACAATAACTCACAATAAAACAATAGAAGTTATAGTACTCATCATTATATTTTGAAAGTATGTAATTTATAGTTCTGATACAAATTTAATAGTTATGCCTTGGTTTTCTAATTCAATATTTATTAAGATGATCCTTTCTGTACCTTTCAAATGCTGAGCAGGTCAGAGTGCAATGAAACTAGACGAACATGTGTATTGAAGGATTATTCAGGAGACATTATACATGTAGTATTACTGAGTTTTCAGTTTTGACATAATGTAAGGAACACTTTGGAGTGAAAATATTTGTTTTGGATCAGAGGGATGAGTTATTTCAGGACTAACACTGGGGATGGTTACCTAAACTGAGTTTTCTCTCTCACTCAGACTGAACAGTATTGTGATTGTGGGAATTATTTTTCTTCACAAACTATTCATATTAAATGGAACATGTTGAAATACAATGGATTTACTAATAAATGTGAGTAAATCTAAATAATTTATTCCTTTTAACAGAGAATAACATGTACCAATACACATTATGGGTTCATTTTGGCGCCATCACTACACAAGCATGCCTATGCAATGTGAGTGAGTCAACATCCGGTGTAAACAATAACAAATAAAAATCACGCCCACAAACTGCCAATCTCTAGTTTGAAATACAAAATCAGCCCTGCTTCAATTTTTTGAAGCCAAAATTAAAAATTTTAAAAGTATTTATATGTAAAATAAATGCCCAGTGATGAGAGGAACTGGCATAACAATTTTGAAATGATAATAAAATAGCTGAATCTTGATTTTTACAAAATAAGTGCTGCAATCTAAATGTGACCAGAAAATTCATATCCTCAACCATTTTCACCGATTGGTTGCTTTTATACCCAATTGCTGGTCTTTAAATGCATATCAATGATCTAGCTGATAAACGTTGTGTTTAAATACATTCATTTGACCATTGTCTTTTCAGGGATTCAACAACAATATGTACATTTTTTATATGGTTTTCTTATGAAATAGGAAATACTTGAAAGTGTAAATAAATATTATATAATTATTTTGAATAACTATTCTCAGTAATCTTCAGCATTTTTATCTTTAGGTCCAATGTTAACAAAGTGGAATTTAACAGAATATAAGTGCTACTGTAAGATGGAAGCATTGTTTACATTCATTTATTATAGTACTTCTCAAGGATTTAAAAATTACATGGTCTAAATCAGTAAGGTGAATAATACAAAATGTTTCTGCATCGTGTTCCAAAGGCATTTCATCATTTGAAGGAAAAGTCCACTGAAAATTTATGTCTTCTGCACAGGTTCATGAAGTCACAATTAGCATTTT